CCAAAGTCAACGAATCACGTTCTTTCAGTGCGAGGAAACCAACGTCTTTGGCCCACAGGAGGACCAGGTTTCCATGTTGTCAGTCCGGATAGGGCCCAGTTTCCGTGACCCTCAGTCCGTTCTGTCGGATCCATGTTCTGTCACCCATGTCCCATGTTCTTCCAGTCCGATCGGATGACCTGGCGAGCTGTCCTCCATCATCCTGCGATCGATACCCGGTGGCTCCCAAAGTTTTTGTCGCGTCACTGGTATGTCTTTGTTTCGCCGACTGTTTGTTCGATGCTGGCGGCTGCACGGACGTCCTTTGTGGTGTGGGCCTATAGACGCCCCGGGGACCTGGACCTCTCTGAACGCTGTAGCCCTTCCTTTCTTAGAAGTTAAGAGCCACCCATTATTGAGTCCATTCTCGTGGAGCCTGCAGTCCCGTTATGCTCTGTTTTCTGCTAAAAAATTATCTGCAAGAATTATCTTCCCTAACCACATCATAAATACCTTCCAATTTTTCTGTAATGCTCTGGTTCCGATAACTGGTTATGTGCATGATTAACTCGCTACTGGGCTACCATACCAATCTCCTTTAACTTCAAGGAACCCTATTGCTCCCGGCAAAGCTAATCCAGACTGGGACAGACCATTTCAACTGCGCCTTCAGGGACGCGCAGGAGCCCAACTGCGTCTGACAGAGCCACCCTCTGCGCCGTTCTCGGAACGCCCGGTGGTCCTCTGTCGTGCTTCGTCCCATTATTCTGATACGCCGGCATGCAATCACGTAATGATGCGGTCTGTGTGATGATGAAGTGTCCGGGAACCGCCACTGACGGACTCCGGCCGCTCTCGCCGTAGGTCGCAGCGACGGCAAAGGCTTTGTTGCGGTCAAATCTCCCGGTAGTGACTTATTGATTTGTATGCACCGTCTTTTCTGCTTTTTTAGCTATGCGAGAACATGCTCGGTAAAACTCATAAGACAAAGTTATGTTTTTAGGTTTAAGTTTGCGTTTTCGAGCTGATATTTACATATTCAACAATTGCAACTTGCATCCTCTCCCTCCCTATCTCTTCATATCCCTCTCGCTCTCCATCCTCCCCCCTCGCCCTCCGTCCCCTACCCGTCTCGCTCCCCCTCTTTCCACCGTCATGTGCCACCCGAAGCACGTCTGCAGGGACACGCCACCAGGCGCGCCCGTGCAACCTTCCAGCTGGGACGACGTCACGTGACCTGACCGATGCGCGCGCCGTAGCGTGTCATTCGATGACGTCAGCGTGTCCATTTGGGGCGTCGTCTTCCGCGAACCCTACGACTTGTGCGGCGTGGAGCGCCGCGGGCCGCTGGGGGTGGTGCGTCAGTGGGCTTTCTGGTGATGGAGCCCCAGCGAGTGGTTTATCGGCCATGTTGGTGGGGTGCTGACTGGAAAATGACCGTCTTTTGTAGACGAGTTAGTGAAATTTGAGCTGAGTTTGACGGTAAACGAGCGAAGAGATTGAGTTAAGTGGGCAGAAGATGGTCATGGCTGATACTGGATAAGGTGGTTTACTTTTTGGTTTCTGAGTTCTGACTCGTGCGTGGGGGTGTGTGCCTCATACATGCTGTGTCGGATGGGCTTTTTGAGTTCCTGGCTTGGAAATCGTCTTTTTTAGGTCTGTGGGAATGCTGCTCTGTTAATTCAATGTGACATGTAAAGCTGCCTTCCTGAGTGGCCCACGCAGCGGCCATGGCTTCAACTTAACTTCCATCCGGAACCCCGTAATCCTAACATACATTACTCAGTGGGCCCATTTTCAAACACCGTCACGTGCGAAATCTGGTAATCTTCATCCCCCTGCCGGGTATTGCGCACTAGCACGTGAGTGATGACGGCCGTTGCTCGTGACATTTCCGTAACCAGTTATCACTCCGTGAGCGCAGCGACCTGCAGCGCTAACAGTTTCGACCTCCACCGCGCAGTATTGGGGAACCGTTCGACCTACATGTTTATTGCTCTTGTACCGACGACTGCTCGTCATTGTAACAGCTTCAAGTGCAAGTCACCATCATGCGCCATCACGTCACAGTTCTCAGACATGGGGTGCATGTCCTCTTGGGCCTCGTTTGCTCTTTGTGAGCTCTTTGATGCATGATTCAGGTCCCTTGTTCTCTGATTGCGTGCACTGATTGCTGGATGTAGCTCCGATGCAATCCTTCCTGCTACTGATCGCTGCTTCTCGTCGGTCCTAGCCAGTTCCGACTAATTCAGTCCGGCGCTTGAGCTGAAACTGTCGAACCGCCAACCGCTGCCGACATGGATTGCTGCAATGACTGACATGCAACGACTGTCCTGTCTCGACTCCCCTCTCTGACCAACTCCTGTCCTGCCCGGCGAAATCCGCTCGAATCTGCCTGTGGGCGGACTTTGCCCGTGTGCGGCAGAGGCCCACAGTAGCGGACTACGGTCGATGAAGGCCGGTGCCGTTTTTACCGGTGGACTGAGAGAGCGAGGCAGCCTCCGCCGCGACCGAACTGTGCGCCGGCCGTGGGCTGGGCAGCTCGTTGGAGGCTTTTTGTCGGACGCAGCTGCTGGGCGACGCCACGCCACGCCACGCCACGCCACGCCACGCCACGCCACGCCACGCGCTGTACCACACCTCGCCGCGCCACAGCACCCACACCATGCGTTGCTGATAACTGATTCCTAAACTTGCTTTTAATCAGTAAAATGATAAAGTTGTAGCAACTCGCTCTCCGTTAGGTATTTGTTTGTGGTTTTACTGTTAAGTGTTCGTGACAATGCTGTTCCGTGTTGCATTCGCAATTCTTGTGTTGACTGTGTGCGTGTATTTCCCCAATTCATCTTGCAAGTCCCGTCCCTCCTGCGTCCCTATGCCACGTAACCATTGCACCATGCGGCGCAACCATCGCTAGCAGCATTTGGTCGACCACTTGTGCTCTCGATCGCACCGGAACTGTGCAGTTTCGTCTGCCGCGCAGCTGTCGTCTATGCAGATCGCTCTACCGTGTCCGGGGGCGACGAGCGCTTCTGCGAGGGTTCAATGGGTACATTGGGTGCTCCTGTGGAGGGTGAAGGGTACAATGGGTGCTCCTTTGGAGGGTGCAGGGTACAATGGGTGCACGTAGGGCAGGGGATGTCGAATACTACTGACAATCGGAACCAACCACGGGGTGCAATGGTCACCGTATACCGTCGGTCAGTCGGGTACAAAGGACGCACGATGCACAATGCACATGCCCTGATTTAGTACAACGGGTGCTCCTCGACTTGATACATTGGCTGCTGGTCCTGTGCTTAACATGACATGACGGCCGAACGCATTGTCCGTCATTGCGGTCATCTGTGTACGGTAGTCCCTCCTGCGGTGACCTGTGGGTGCAGTCTGCCCCGCGGCGGGGGACCGAGTACAATGGCCGCCCCCTGAGGCGGGCGGTGGCCAGATTTCCCCGGCGGGCGGCGGCGGGCGGTTATCGGACCCACTCACCCCCGGCGGCGCTGGCCTTGCCGGCTTGGAGTATTGACCCAGCCGAACGCGGCCCGGTCAGGGGGAACGGACCCAGCGGCCGCCCGCAGCTGAGGGGCCGAAACGCGCAGTCGACGGCAGCCCGAGCGATAGAGCGATAGAGCCTGTTATGAGAGCCTGTTATGAGCGGCGCGGCGTGGAAAGACTGCTGCTCTGAAATAGTCACTATCCTATACCGTTAGGTGGATTTTGAAGACCATGCTCACTTCCACTGGAATACCTGAAGTAGCTCCCGGAGTATGTAACGACGAAATCATTCGTAAAAATAGCACCGCGCTTTTAATGCTTTTGTCCTCCTAACTAGAGAACAGTGGACGACCTTCCTGCGATGGTGAATGGATTGAAAGTAATGAGTCAACGATTGGTTGGTCAAAGGAGTTAGGACCAGGGGCGAAGCTTCCTATACAGTTTGTGGGGCAGCTGCCCCACAAACTTTGCATTTTGGCCCACCAATAAGCGTTTTGCCCCACCAACTTAAGGTGATTTGTAGGACTTTGTTGCTTTGAAACTCTTTTTTTTCGCATTGAAGAGCCTTGGGATGTCTGTGTAATGCAACATATTGTATCTCAAATGATACGAATTTTATCATTGTGGCATTTTATTCAACTTGACACTCAGACATTGCAGATTTGACGACTTTTTGCCCCACCAACTTTCCTGGAAAAGCTCCACCCATGGTTAGGACAATTAGTTAGCAATGGTTGCCGCCACTACATAGTCTTCGTGGCCTCCTGAGGACATCTAGCGTACTCCAGAGTAGAGTAACATCGGCTCCGTGCCGCAAAAAGCGTCTGTTGGCCTCTCAAGGCCTCAGACGCGCCGCCGTTTTTGCACCGTCTGGGCGTTGGAACGCCCCCCCCCCCGCGTGGGGGCGGGGGGGGGAGGGAGGGAGGGTGGAGAGGCCCAGCGGGTGTCCACTAAGGTGTGTCCGGGATGGCCCACACGAGACCCGCCGACACGTGTGACGTCGTGCCACGCGTGTGTCACGCGCGCGGGAGTTTCGTGACGCTCTGCGTGACGGCCCATGGGAAGTAACCCGGTGTTGTTCAGAGGTCACGATGGTACCTGAGGTCATGTGAGTGACGTAGCCTGAGGGGGATGGGTTAATAATTCGAGAAAAAGCCCCACCCATGTGGAGTGCGAACGACCCGGCCCGTCAGGCCGAGATAACTGGTTGTAACCGGTTCGATCTGCTGGTGTGTCATCTCAGGCCCGTGACGTGATGTTTGGCGCTGATGAATGATGATAGGTGAATGGTGGCTGACCTGACATGTTTGTGAATGGTATGCACTGAAGGGATGTGGAACAACATTATTGTGTGACATAAATAACTATACTGTAATTTCGTGAGCTTCGTGAACCAATCAGCAAACGAGTTATTGGAGATGAAGAGACGACAAATGCGACTCCATAGTTTCTCGTTTTTAGTAACAGAACAACGTTTCTTTTTCGTGATTTTTTTTTTGACTCGCACTCCTTTCTTTTCTCCCCAGACGGAGCTCGTCGTCTGCAATGAAGACGGCACATGGAAGTCGGTGATCGTGGCCGAGGGGCTGCGTACCTGCGACCTCTGCGAACTGCTGGCGCACAAGAACAACGTGACCAATGACGTCAACTGGTCGCTGGTGGAGCGGTGGCAGGACCCGGCCATCGGTGAGTAGCGACCAATGACGTAATAATAGAGCAGTGGAGCGGTGGCAGGACCCGGCCATCGGTGAGTAGCGACCAATGACGTAATAATAGAGCAGTGGAGCGGTGGCAGGACCCGGCCATCGGTGAGTGACGACCAGTGACGTAATGGTAGACCGGTGGAGCGGTGGCAGGACCCGGCCATCGGTGAGTAGAGACCAATGACGTAATAATAGAGTGGCAGAGCGGTGGCAGGACCCGGCCATCGGTGAGTAGCATCCAATGACGTAAGAAGTCTCTTATGGAGCGGCGGTGGAGCAGGAATTGTCCTTTAGTTAGCGAACACACCTCGCCAGCCTCACTAGTCCATCTTTCTGCTTAGAAGTTGAAATTCCATACACATCTTTATGGATGAATTGCTACTAATATTTGTAGTGATAACACCCATGCTATCTCGCTGCCGCCAGGATGTCCACACGGGCTTCCTTTGGCGCAAGGAGGCGTCTGCCGTGCCAAAAACGACGCAAAACCCATCACTTTGTTGGTACTGCATTGTCTGGGACAAAATTAACCGACAAAGCTGCGTCGCCCTACCTCAATTATTTCTGGGAAGTTTTTCTACGGACCACAGCTGGTGGCATTTTCTTTGGCTGCGTAGCCCATGAACCCGTCTGGTCAGCGGTGGGGTACGATATATTTTTGGGGCGAGTCTCGTCCTCACCTGTCGTCTGTGGTACACGTTGAAACAGGACACGTCGACACAGACCTGTCGACGCTGCCACGTGCCATGTGCCGCCCTTACTAAGACGTTGCACGCGCCTGTCTGTCTGGCGTTCCCTGGCAGAGGAGTGCGCGCCGCTTGTTCCACTCTCTCATTCGGGCTGTCTGGAAGTCTGGCCGGCGTAATAGAAGCCATGAGCCCGCGGCGGTAGTGGTGGTGGTAGTGGGGGTGGGGGGGGGGGGTCTAGACGGTGTGACCTGGTGACCTTTCCCGACGTGTCCAGCCGTGTCTGACGACAGGCCGCCGGCCGCCGTCGGGCAGACGACTAAAACACCAGACTTAATTCTGTCGGACCTTTCGCTGTTCAGTTCACATTTGCTGATCCCGTTACCAAAAGAAATTGTGACCAGTGATTGAGCTCATGTCAGGGAATGTCAGCATGACATGACGTCAGCAATTGAACACCACACATAGTTGCAAATTCGTCTGCTGATATTATTCTGCGCCTTGCGTCTACCCAGCAGGGGCCAGGCCAGGGGACAGTTATGTATCATGAGTAGTGAATACCGTTTGTACGGTTCCGTTCCCTGTATTACAGTAGGTAGATGACACGTGTCATGTGCTTAAACTGAGCTTCAGTGGGGTAGCGGTATGATGTAAACAGTGGTGTTCGCATTAATGGGATCCGGCTGTATCACTGCTTTGGGTGACTCAAACTCTTGCTGACTGCCAAGTAGAAATGATTGCTGCTATCCAGGACGTTCGCTTATATGTTCAGGCAGTGACCTTACATTACATTTTGTATGGATGCCGCTATAAAGGCTAGGACGTAAACATCTGTGCCGTTTCCTTGCATTAAAGCAAGGGCTTCAAATTTCTATGCCGTGATTTTGCAGAGCAATGGAGGCGTGCATTGCTGCCCAGTTCATGAAAACTTTAATAGCGGTTTTGACCGATTTGGCTTGACCTGAGGACTGCCGATCTGCGTTACCAATCTAATTTAGGTAGATATATGATGATTTGTTAAGTCATGAGTAGTGGAATGAATATTAACGGTGTTCAATTATAGCCTGGGTAAGCTGCGGAAGACCTTAAAGCAGGAGTAGCGTATTTTGCATGGACAAGATATCCTAAAATGGCTGGGAAGCTCAAGAACAATTATCATAGACTTAGTTTGGTTTAATTTCTGATCTATATCGCTTCAGGCAAACATCCGTGAGAAATCACAGCCTATTTCCTGATTTACAACGAACATGGGCTTTTATTTCACACCTGCCTATCGAGGATACCTGGGTATTTTGTATTCATGGAGCCAACCATGAGCGTACTCCAAATGCCTCCGAGCTTTAAATAGGGCGGACTGTTGCAGTATCAGTGCCTCATCCTACTGTCTCATGGGTCTCAAACTATCTTCGATATAAAACTACCCGATGGTGATAAAACATAAATGCGTCACAGTCTCGGCCACGACATTGGGATCTACGAACAAGCGAAGAACGGTTTGGGAGACGGGCTAGTATCCCAGATCGTAACCATTCATGTTGGATTTTTCCCCTTACTTTAGCTACGAGCAAATGGTTTTTATTGACTCTGAATGCGGCAATGAGCATAATCATGCTAAAAAGGTTTTAAACCATCCGAACCGTGACATGCACCCGAAACTGATTCCGATACAATGCGAGGTCGATTCGCCTTGTCACACCTGACGCCATTCTGCGTTCCGAGGCGGACGGGGGAGGGGAGGGGAGGGGAGGGGGACTTCCGACCGGTCCAACCAGCCAGCAGGCTCGGTTCCGATTGTTTTCCCAGTAGGCCTGGTAACGCAGCTCTTCGTGGAATCCTATTAGCCAACGAAAGCGACGCAGCCGGCGGCGGCGGGCCTGAATCGTTCGACAGAGACCTTGGCCGCCGCATAGTCACCGTGGCCGCCGCTAGAACGTTCTGTCGATGCTGGCAGTCGTCTTTGATGAAATGTCATGACGCAGGAGTGGATGTCATCTTTTGTTATTGAGACTTCTGAGGGGTAGAATGTTTGCGGTGCTTTTACGCTAATTGGAAATTATTTGCGACGTGAGGTTGCGCGCTTGTGTAAAAACTGCGCAGATGGAAGTTGGGAACATTCTACGTATACTTCCCGAGGCGAATGCACCTCATGGAACTTAGCTGTGTCATAGTTGAGCAACATCTTTGTTGTTCTGGTTGACATTATATAAGCACCGGTGGGTGTGCAACACCTACTGTGTGCGTATACCAATTTCTTCGCACTTTGCCATGTGCATCGATAAGTCTGGAGGTGGCTGGAAGGAAATAGGCATTACTTGAAATAATTATCGGTGCTGAGATATGACAGCGTATCGATCGGCACATTATGATTGGAACGGTTCGCGTATCGAAACCATTCGCTGGCCTGTCACTCCACGTGCACTGTGCCGGTGCATTCACACCTCACGCGACCATCGCCCCACCTGACGCGATGCACCGTGCTGTTGCATCGCTGTCGTGTCGCACGGCCGCGTGGGGTGTACCGTGAGGTGACGGGCATGAATGGTGTCTAGACATGCGTGGGCTGCCCCATGCGGGGGTGGGACAAGTGTCTTTATTTACTTCACAGCTGCATTTTTAAAGGTCATGTAGTAAACTCCTTACGTCCACATTGCCGTTGTATTGCCAGCTGCCTCCGTCGCGCGCCGGCCCAGACTGGCCGGGGGTCGTACGTGACCCACCTTTTATTCAACAGGTTACGAAACGTCTAGAACACGCCCAAAACGAGTGCGAACTTGCACAGCAGCGACGAGGTGACGGAAGGCGCCAGCTTGGCGGCCTACGTGCCTTAAATGACATATCTTAAATTTACAATTGCGCTGCGCGTGCCGCCGGCCGTTTCCTCCCGGCCCCGCCCCGCACAATGCCATATAACTCATCCCGAGCCTGGACGGGGCGGCGGCGGCGCCGCAGTGGCACGGCGGCCACAAGATTCTAATACACTCCCCCCTGATCTACAAATCATCGTACTGGGTCAGAACGGCAGGGCGTCTTTCCCGCATGCCGCGGCGTAGAACTTCAGCGTACGTCACAGGGGGCACATTTTCCCCGTGGCTTTCGTGCGCACACTCTCGCAAGATAATTGGGCCAGAGTCGTCATTGTCATTGTTCGGCGGCTCAGTCTGGCCACTCTCCGGACTGGGAACGAAAGCCAGTCTCAGATCTCTCACGTGACGGGGGACATTGTCTACCTCCACACACTGCGCCGACACTTGTCGGGTGACTGTTCCTATGGAACTTGGCACATCACACCGGCGACTAGGGTCTCTGATCCATACCTTATCGCCTACACTGAACATAGCACACTCACTCTCTTCGCACTTTTCCTCACTCTCCACGTCCGGCACTCTCAGTTTGTAGTTGAACAGTACGTTGGCAGGACTAGAGTTCAGGTCATCACTGCGCGGCATCACATTATACCGGTATACTGCTTCCGCCACTGAGCAGCCTTTGCGCGCTACGATTGTTTTGACCGACCTATGGTTTCTCTCAGAGACACCATTGCCGAACGGCGCATGGGCAGCTCGGTACCGGACGCTGACACCCCACCGGCTGACGAACTCGTGGAATGCGGCACTGCGGAATGAGGTGAAGTTGTCCGTCAGCAGCTCCCTCGGAGCGCCGCGCTCCAGGAATACCGACTCCAGAGCCGTGATGATGCTGTCGGTGTCCTGTCGCTTTATCCGCCGCCAGATCGCGTACCGAGACGGACCGCAGTCAATCAGAGTCAGGTACAGCTGATCGTTTACGTGACAGACGTCCATGCTGACCCTGTCCCAGCATTTGGTCACGCTCAGCGAACCATGTGTCCACCGCTGGGGCGCTGGATCGATGGACTGGCACCTTTCGCACTGGCTAACGACACTGCGCACCTGGTGCCTGCTCACAGCCGGATCGTGCTCCCTACACAGGCGCAGCGTTCTCCCGATGCCTGGGTGTCCGCTTGTTTCATGGATCCTGACCACATCCGGCGCCGAGAAGGCAGCGCCGGAGACCTCAGGATCGCTTTGTTGGTTCAGCCACTTCTTCGGCACTCTCGTCAGTGCGTCAGCTCTGTTGTCCACTGACGGAACGCACTTCACGGTCAGCTGGAGGCCGTATTCATCTCTCAGACTCTTCACGGTCTCCAGGCGCCTTCTAATCAGCATTTCACTTGCCGCCTTCGTCTTTATCCGAGCTCTGCCGGAGAGCGCATCTGTTAGCCAGTGATAGACCGTTTTCGAGTCCGTCACGACAGTCACTTTCTTCAGGTTCCATGCCA